CTCCATTAGCCTTCGAGGGCGGACCATTCGAATAGGTCCGCCACCCCCTATGTGAGAAACAGAAAATAATGCTGTTTCTCACATAGAAAATTCTGGTTTCTGTGCAAAAATCATGTTTTCTATGCACACACATACACACACACAAAACTCCATATGATTTTTTTTCTTTTTCACAGAATAAGTCCCAAACTACTAAGATACTCATCACTCCAGATTTCTTTTTATTATTTAAAAATAAATAAATCAATCAAATATTCTTTCCCTCCCTAGAGGCAGCACAGATGGTGGGGGGTTGTTATTGTTGTGTGCCTTCAAGTTGTTTCCGACTTATGGTCACCCTAAGGTTTATCTATCTATAGATAATCTATGTATTTATATATCTATAGAGATGCAGTGGCTCAAGTGGTTAAGACACTGACCCTGTTGATTGGAAGATTGGCTGGTTGGCAATTCGACCCAGGTGCTGTGTGATGGGGTGAGCTCTCACCACTAGCGCCAGTTTCTGCCAAGCTAGCAAGCAGTTCGAAAGCATGCAAATGCAAGTAGATAAACAGGTACTGCTTTGGTGGGAAGGCAAACAGTGTTCTGTGCAATCATGCTGGCTACCTAATCACAGAGTAGTCTCTGATAATACTGGCTCTTCAGCTTAGTAACAGAGATGAGCACCACCCCTTATGGTCTGACACAACTTGACAAACTTGTCAACAGGGAATACCTTTACTTAAGGTCTATCTATCTATCTATCATGAAGTTTTCTGGGGCTGAGAGTGTGTGACTCTTCCAAGGTCATCCAGTGGTTTCCATGGACAAGTGGGAAATTGAATCTTGGTCTCCACAGTTGTACACCAATGCTTAAGCCACTACACCACACTGGCTCTCAGATAGGGGGAGTGAATGCGGTCTATTAAGCTTGTGGAAGAGAAAAAGCAACAGGAGCAGATATAGTAAATCTATTCCCAGCCCCCATTTGGAGTGGGACATTTTTGTCCCCTTTAAATTGGCACACATAGCCTTAGTCCAAAGTAATATTGTTATTTTATTATGATAAACAAAGACTGTCCTGGTGCTAAATGGACTTCCCACCTTCTCTCAGCCATCAGCTTTACAATGTGTGCATAATTATTTATGCAGCATCGTAACAGCAGCTTCCAATTGTAATACATTTTTGCTGGAGATTCCAGAGCACTTACACTTCTCTAGGCACTGCGTAAAAATATGGCAGATAAAACGAAATAACAGTTAAGAGTCATTTTGTTTTTTTATCTGATAACCTTTTGGCTGAAGAGCGGGGTATAAATACTTCATAATAATAATAATAATAATACAAAATTATTTTAACAATATTAACACAAGTTCTACCTTTTAATGTTCTCTTCCTCTCTCCTGCCTAAAAAGGAGGAACAGAGGGGGAGAAAAATAAAATGAATGTGGCATCACTTTTAAGACTGTTTTTCATTTTGCATGCAAAGGGATCTTATAGCACCTTTGAGACTGAG